ACTCTATCAAAAAGCTTTGACACCTTTTTTAAAAGTCTCTTATTACGATACTACTGCTCCTTGTTTGTTAATTAACAGCGTTATTTCATTAGCAACTTTTACACCTAAGTATATCTCATGTATCTAATTCTACAAAATGTATGTTACTTTTAGGATCTATGTCCTCAATAGCGGTGGCACGAATGTAGGTAGCTGATTTTCATGTAGCAACTTAATATTGTTTTGAACATGTCAGTCAAATCGCGATAAAAAGTATGAACAACACATGCATTACCTTGAAAAATTATGTTAAACTTGTTGACTATATGCAAAATATCTCATCTATATCTATAATTATCTAAAAACAAAAAGTAGAGCTTTATTTGTTTATTTTCGAAACTTTCATGCAAAAAATTCGCCGAATGGCTAGGGTTATATTCTACGAGATGTTCTTGCTGAAAATACAGCTGAAGTGCATTCCACTGTTCTACTATGCGATTTACACAGCCGTGTAAGGAGAGCCAACGTATGTCGTAGTGACGTAATATATTGTGATGCTCTGATTCTACAAAGGTCTGAAATTCTACAAATTCTCTTTTGCGTTTGCTACTATGGCCAAAATAATTATAGACTTCTTTCACAATTTGATCCAATGTTTTAGGAATGACATGCACATTTTACAAAAATACAATTGGAATTGACCGACTTAATCTTTGCAACTACACTATTATTTCTGCCAAACATTACATTTGTTGTATCAGCTGCAAATCCTAAAATATTTTCAATGTTTAAATTTAATTCTCGCAAACTTTTACACAGTGAGTTAAAAATTTCAGCAGTTTCACTTGATAGATTAACAGAGCATAAAAATTTGGTTTTTACTGTATTATCCTGAACGCTATAAAACTTTATTGCAATGGCAAGTAATTTTTCTGTGGTAATGTCTGTGCTTTCATCGATAATTAATGAAAAAGATTAAACATTACCTGGAGAGAAGCGCGGGAAATACGATCGTAGACGCGTTTTTCGATTTAATTAAATTTTATTTTATTTTTAGGGTTTGGATCAGTAGTCTAGTTTAGTTTATGTATATATATTTGTTATTTCTTAGTTATAATGTATTAAAGAGAAGATTTATTGGTAAGTTATTTTAATATACTTTGGTTCCTTATGGAGCCGCCTGATGACCCTGGGGGCGGAGAAGTCCCTGGGGTGGGCTGTATAGTAACAATTTCAAATGATGATTCTGGAATGGAAACAGATGGATCTATAAATTCTAGCAGTGGTGCTCGAAAACGGAGAGCCACTGTGCATAAACATTGCACCCACTGTAATAAAAAGAGACGTAGTCGGAAACATGAGGGCAAGGAAATCAAACAAAACGAATGTCATTGCATTCCTTTAACCAATATCTAAATTAGCACTGCTCCCTTGTTCAATGAGTCACAACCCAACCCGTCACAACTTAATTCCTCTAATCAATATAAAAAGCCAGAATCAGTAGCACGTTTAAGATATCAGCCAAGTGATGCAGCACCATATGTTGTTCACATACAAAGAGTACAGCAAACTCCAAATGATAGTGTTTCAGTCCACCCAATTGCTTTTGGTCGTTTCTTAAAAAGAAATTCTATACACAATATTGTTAACGGAAGTTTAAAACGAATTGGTCGTAATAGACTGTCTCTGTCTTTTAATAATTACCAGGACGCAAATTCTTTCCTAAATAACTCTGCTTTACAATCAGTCGAGTATAAGGTTTTTATCCCAACATTTGCTGTTACCCGTATGGGTGTTGTAAGAGGCACCTGCTGAGTGGTCAGATGAAGAAGTTACGGAAAATATTAATTTACCTGTTGGATGCGGTCCAATTTTAAAAATAAGAAGAATGAGACGGCGTATCATTACTAATAATGGCAGTGAGTTTAAGCCTACTGAAACTGTGGTTCTTACATTTGATAGACAAATACTACCTAAGCGAATTTTTATTTGCTACACTGCTCTCCCAGTTGATCTTTACATTTTCCCCACAATACAGTGTTACAATTGTTGCAGATTTGGTCATGTTAAATCATTATGTAGATCAAAACCAAAGTGTTTCAAGTGTGGCCAAGACCATTCAGCTGATCAGTGTTCTATCCTAGAGGAAGATGCTTAATGTTGTTTATGTCAAGGTTCCCATTTTGCCACAAGTAAAAGATGTTTAGAATTTGATCGCCAAAAAGCCATCAAAGAATCTATGAGAGCCAAGAGCTGTATTTCGTACGCTGAAGCATCTAAATTTCATACACCTATCTCAAAAATGTCTTATGCTGATGCTTTACTTTCTTCTTCCAATGTAGGTGCTTCTACTATTTCTACTCCTCAAAATGAACAGTCTCATAAACAGTCTTTGAGTAACTCTTACAAAAAGACTGTTTTTCTTAAACCAAAATCTATTCCTAAACTATCCAAAGATTATGACAGAAATACACAACAACAATTAATTAAAGATTATGATATGCCCTCACCCAGATTTGACATTACAATCAATTGCAGACCTAATAAAAATTCTCATTAACACTTTATCACAGTCTAATATTCTTTCACCGTCCAATGCTGCTCCTTTAATTGACACTATCGTTAACTTACCAAATTATATTAATAATGGACAAGCAAGCCAAAGCTCTACAGTGGAACTGTAGAAGTGCTTCGTCTAAGAAAAGTGATATTATTTATATTATAAATAAATATAAACCTTTTATCTTCGCTCTACAGGAAACCTGGTTAAAACCAGGTGCACCTTGTAGGTACTCAGGTTATGCCTGTCTCCGTGAGGATCGTATTGACGGGTATGGCGGAGTTGCCTTACTAGTCAAACATCATCTTCCTTTTTCTCACTTCCCTATTCCTTCTCATTGTAATGATTTTTCAATTATTGCTGCTATTGTTAATAATATTTGCTATGTTTCAATATATATTCCTCATCCTAGTTCTTCTATCTTTGTTGAAATTGACTCTATCATTTCTACTCTTCCTAAGCCTTTTATCTTATTAGGCGACTTTAACAGTCAACATAGTTCTTGGGGCAGTTCAACAACCTATACATACGGAGTTTCATTGATGGAACTGTTAAACTCTCATAATCTTTGCTTTCTTAACAATGGTTCTGTGACCCGGCGGACCTCTCCCAATGAAGGCTCAAGTGTCCCTGATTTAAGCATTTGTACTCCTTGTTTAGCTTCCACTATTTCATGGTCTACACTTTCTTCTTCATATGGTAGTGACCACTTCCCTTTACTTCTTAGATTTCCTTTTCATATTAATTTTACATTTAGACATTCTCCTAGATTAAAACATCGACTTAATAATGCTGATTGGGATACCTTTAAATCCCGTATAGAACAAAAGATGACTTCCCTCCCTAATATCTCACATGGTTCAGAATCAATTTGTGCTGATGCATTAACTAAATTATTTATAGAAGTAGCCGACAAAACTTTTCCGCTTAAAAATGGTGCTCTGGGCTTTATTCCATCTCCACCTTGGTGGGATCAAGAATGTTCAGATGCAATTAAAAAAAGAAAAGTTGAGCTCCAATATTGTGAGAATTGTTCATCTGAAAATTTTGATCTGGTTACAGATGCTTTTAAGGCCACTAGTTTATTATTCAAAAAGAAAAAAGCAGATATCTGGAAATCTTTTTGTCTCTCTATCTCCCCTAATGTCCGTCCTTCTATGGTATGGCGTAATATTAGAAGATTCAGGTGTGCATTTACTGAAACTTCTGGTTCTCTCCCCGATTAATTAACAAATCAATTCCTCGACAGACTTGCTCCTACTACAGTTCCTGAAAAAATAATTATGCCTCTGATGCCATTGAACCCCTCTGGTCTCAATAGTCCATTTTCTATGTATGAAATTAAAGGAATATTATCTTCAGTTATAGACTCTGCTCCTGGTGACGATGGAATCCCATATTCCTTCATCTCTCATTTAGGTGACCAAACTCTTGAATATTTCCTGAAATTGATAAATACAGTCATGTTAACCGGTTCTATCCCTCCACGCTGGAAAAACCAGATCATTATACCAATTCTGAAATCTAATAAAAATCCCTCTAACGCAAATACATATCGTCCTATTGCATTATCCTCGGTCTTGATAAAACTCTGTGAACATTTAGTGAAAACTCGCCTTGAATGGTTTGTAGAAAGCAATAAATTACTTTGTGACAGTCAATTTGGTTTCCGTCGAGGGAAGAGTACGATGGACAGTATTGGCATCTTTATCACTGACATTTTTTTAGCATTTCCATGGAATGATTCTGTTGTTGCCACATTTTTAGATGTACAATCCGCTTATGACAATGTAGTGTTGTCAGTTCTTCATGAAAAGCTACAGTATTTGAATGTACCTGTAATGTTATCAAATTTTATCATAAATACTTTATACTGTTATATCATAGCCTTGCACCCTATCTGGCTGACACACTAGTATCTTTTGTCTAGTCAGCATTTCCCACCGAGACGCGAAACAATAATTAAAATACGAAGTTTAGTTCGGTATCATCCTTCGTCGCGGAAACACATTTATTGGTTTTAATTTTATTCTGTTCTTATAATTAATTAATATTCAAATAAAAGTTTAATTGATTGTATTGTGAAATCATTTTTCTTTTTTTAAAAACCCAATCACTGGGATCCTTCTAACATTGGTGGCAGCGTAAAGGGATTGTATTAATCCTAGGAACGTCTCATATATGTGTAAAAGTGAAAAGTGAAATCGAAGTGAAAGTGTAAAAGTGTCCGCGACAACCGAATTCCCGTCCACTGTGCAGTAAGTGACACAGGGTTGTTTCCCTTGATCAACCCACTGTTGAGTCCAGCACCGACGGAATAAGTCCTTATAAAATTCCAATGAAGCTACTATTATTCTCCAGTATCCTGTGAGTTATAAAATATATTTTTATTCATTGTAACATTTAATCGAACTTATCGTCTATCCCTGCATTCCAAAACGCGCGATAAGAACATATTGTTATGACTACACAAAGCGAGTCAAGTTCGCGACGTGTACAGAAAAAAGAAGATAGCGAGGACAGAATGGACTTAAGTGTATTATTTAAGTTTATTAAACCCTTCGATGGGTCCAGGGAGAGATTAGTCCCATTTCTAAATAATTGTCATAACGCTCATGATTTAGCCATAGAGTCTAAACGTCCTGCTTTACTTAAGTATATATTAAGTCAGTTAGAGGGTAAGGCCGAAAGTGCGTGTAGTATAAAAGAATTTGAATCATGGGAACAACTCTCCGAGTTTCTCACCACTCAATTCGGTGAGAAGAAACACTATTCGGCACTGCTCTCTGACTTACAAAACTGCATACAAAATAATGATTCGGTTAACGAGTTCGCATTACGCGTAGAATCTTGCCTTTCAAAATTGTTAACGGAAATAAATTTATCTCAAAAAAAGAAAAAGAGCGAACTAGCTGGCCGAATTGCAGCTATGCAGGATTTAGCCCTGCACCATTTTGTTATTGGCTTAAAACCCCAAATATCAACTATTGTCAGGTGTCGAGACCCAGAGACGTTAAATGACGCCATAAATTTTGCAATTTCCGAGGAGAAAATAATGGAAGCTTCTCGGAAAAGCTATAATAATCCTCAAAGTCAAGGGCCGCTCAACAAAAATAATTATTCGCGCCCTAACTACCAATTTAGAGATCGCTATCAAAACAAACCAACATCAACTTTTGAACGCGCTCCTAATAATGTAAATTTAAGCAGTGCACAGCCACTATTCTGTCGATACTGTAAAGCTAAAGGGCACGTATTGGAAAACTGCCGGAAGCGCGAATTTAATAATAAAAGATTCCAAATTACAAATCAAAATCCACGTACATTCCAACCACGAACTAACAGTAGTTCTAACCACGTAAACTTTGCAGATCCGATATCTTATGAAGTTACCAATAATGATGAAGTTGTCGATGATTTAAACTGAAACCTGATTCGCGTCAGTGCCGTGCGGGTCAGAGAATAAAATACGGCACAACATATAATAACAATGTTGTCAATTATAGTATTCCCATTTCTTTACCCTGTAAACAAAAATCCAACTCCTTGACTCCGCTACATGGTAGTCAATTTCGTAAAACTCCAATATCCTCGCAGGGTAATCCAAATCCACAGGCTCCGCAACATGGTTGCCATACTAACCAACGAGACGATATTTATTTATTTTATTTATTTATTGCATTTTAGGAAGATTTACAGTATTTTAACAGAAGGTAAATTATGATTACAATAAAATAAAGTCAGTACTAATTACAAATCTCCACCTATAGATAATCCATAAATACCTTTAGGAGATAGGAGGGATAAAATTAACAATCATGAATTTATAATACTATGAAACAATTAAAGAACTTAAGTAAATGAAAAATTAAGTATGACTATTCTAATGGAAATAGCTGGATGTGAGTGTGCGTCTCACAGAGTCAATGGAAGAACAGAATAGATCGATGTCAAGCTGGGTTGAATACTGGTTGTAGGTCTGTACACTTCGGATCAAGAATGTATTTTTCCTATAGTTGGTATTAAATGGAGGCATTTTGAAAAGAGGGCGATGTCTGAACCATAATAAGTCAGTTCGCAAGTTGAGCTTTGCTAACATCTCCGGACAATCAACGAATCCCCTAACAATCTGTAATAAATAACAGACATCGGAAATATTCCTTCGATTTTCAAGGGGCAAAAAATGGTAGCGTTGACAACGGTGATGGTAACCATCAGAATGCTGGTGGGCCTTAAAGTCGAGAAAACGAAGGAAGCGTCGCTGGATATTTTCGAGACGAGCCTTGTATTCCTGGTATTGAGGATTCCAGACTTGTGAGGCGTACTCTAGGTGACTACGCACAAAAGAACAATATAATACTTTAATAGTTTTTAAATGTTTGAAGACAGCTGATGTTCTAATGATAAAACCCAAGGATTTAGAGGCTTTGGAAACTACACTATCAATGTGTCTATCAAATAGCAATTTATTGTCATGGATGACCCCAAGATCCTTAACTTCTACCAGTCTAGAAATTGACTGATTATAGAAGGTGAGATTAACTATCAATGGACTAGGTTTACGGCTAAAACTAATGTGATGACATTTAGCTAGCACATGTAACGCGTTCTCCCCCCCCCCCCCCCCCCCAATTTTTAGGGGCGTTTGTTTGTGTTTCCCCCCCCCCCCCCCCTTTCCCCCTCTTTTTTTTTTTAGAACGTAGTGGCGTGGAAGAGGCTTTTTTTGTGGTTATATTATAAAGAAAAATATAGAAAAAGAAAACGTACACATTGGGTTTATCCAACTAGTTTAAGTTGACACATTTTAAAGCTTAATACGAAAATTAATCAAATTACATCACGCGATTCAAATCGCGCGCTCTAGAGACTTTTTGTCTGAACAGCAAACGGACATTACATTAATTCCAACCCCCCCCCCACCCCCCACCCCCTCCTTCTTTTTTTTTTTTTTTCTCCCCCCCCTCCCCCCCCCTTTCCCGCGCCGCGTTAACGCGCGTACATGTGAACAGTTGTATGAAAAATACCATAATCTTAGGTCATTTAGCGTGTTATGCACATCGGGATCTAGCCTAAGAGAATGGAACTTGTTTAGGAACAAAATGCAAACATTTTCCACAGGTTAATGTCATCCGTGTTATGCACAAACTTAAAGATTTTCCACAGGCTCCGCAACATGGTTGCCATACTAACCAACGAGACGATATTGTGACTAAATCCTCTGTATCCACTATACCTAAAAGTCCCACTAAATCTTATGCTTCCGCCGCGAAGTTTGGACTTTCTAATTCCACTGTATCCAATACTAACTCTAAAGACACACCTACTGTGTTCGAGGTGACATCTAATGCCATAAAGAGATCCTTACCATATGTATTACTCCAGACAAATGTATCCGAAATCCCAATCAAATTCCTAATCGATTCAGGCTCGTCAGTTAGCCTAATGAAACAATCTTGCATCCAGATCGAACAATTATTCGAACCGCCCAAAATCTTACTCAAAGGAATAAACTCAAACAGCGAAGCAACCAAAACTTTAGGCCAGTTCCCATTAAAGTTCTTCCTGAGCAATAAACAAAATATTATTTTTGATTTTCACGCTGTAGATGACGTTAACTTACCCTATGATGCAATAATTGGTAATGATTTCCTCAACGACCTGGAAGGCATAATTGATTATAACCAAAATTCATTAACTCTAAAGAATCATAAAATTAAGATAGATTTTCAAAACCCCGTATATGTAATTCCACCTCGTACACAAATAATTATTGAATGCTCAGTATCCAACCCTAACATAAAAGAAGGTCTTGTGCTAGACCAACATTTCCACGAAGATTCATTTTCGCTAACTGCCTTGTCTCAGTTAAAAAGAATAAAAGAATTAATATATCTGTTTTGAATATCTCTGAATCTCCTGTTACTTTAAAATCAAATCTCGATATCACACCCTTTAGACTTTGATGACATAACTCATGAATCGGTTAACTTTAATTCTACTCACCATACTCGACATACTGACGCTTACACTCGCACTCAGGAAGTACTGAATCAATTAAGAGTCAATCACCTTAATACTGAGGAATCTAACGCTCTTCACGATATATGCTCTCAGTATTCTGATATCTTTCATATTCCTGGAGATAAACTATCTCATACTGATGCCATCCAACATGAAATAAATACAACACCCCAAAATCCTATACATGTTAAATCATACCGCTTTCCAGAAATTCACAAACAAGAAGTAGCAAAACAAATAGACCAAATGTTGGAGCAAGACATCATTAAACCTTCTATGTCCCCGTGGTCATTTCCTATCTGGGTGGTCCCGAAAAAACTTGACGCTTCAGGACATCGCAAATGGCGTGTAGTTATTGACTACAGAAAATTAAACGACATTACTATTGGAGATAGCTATCCTATTCCTCAAATTTCCGAAATCTTAGACCAACTCGGACAAAGCAAATACTTCTCCACTCTTGATTTAGCCTCTGGGTTTCATCAAATTCCCATTAGGGTAGAAGACACACCCAAAACAGCTTTCAGTGTTCCTCAAGGGCACTTTGAATTTACTCGAATGCCCTTTGGCCTTAAAAATGCGCCAGCTACATTCCAACGTCTTATGAACACAGCTCTCGCTGGTCTTCAAGATATCCGTTGTTTTGTGTACTTAGATGACATTGTCATTTATTCTCACGACTTACCTAGCCACATAACAAATCTTGAGTTAGTTTTCCAACGCCTTAGAAAATTTAATCTTAAACTTCAACCAGATAAATGCGAGTTCCTGAGACGTGAAGTTATTTATCTAGGGCATGTAATTTCCGATATAGGTGTAAAACCCAATCCAGACAAAATTAAATCTGTGACACAATTCCCCATTCCAAAAACTCCAAAAGATATTAAGTCCTTTCTAGGTCTTGTGTCCTATTACCGAAGATTTATTCCGGAATTCTCCAAAATCACCAAACCTTTAACTGCTCTTTTGAAAAAAGATGTCTCTTTCATTTGGGAAAACCAACAACAAATTGCTTTTGATGAATTGAAACTTAAACTAACTTCTGCTCCTGTCCTAATTTATCCAGATTTTTCCTTAGCATTTACATTAACCTGCGATGCTTCTAAATATGCCATAGGTTCTGTTCTTTCTCAAGGACCTAAAGGTCAAGAAAGGCCAATAGCTTATACTTCTAGAACTCTGAATAAAGCTGAGACTAACTACAGCACCACAGAAAAAGAACTCCTTGCAATACTTTTTGGCTGCAAAACCTTTCGTCCTTATATTTATGGGCGCAAATTCAATATAATAACTGATCATCGACCACTGGCCTGGCTTATGAACCATAAAGACCCTAGCAGTAAGTTACAACGTTGGCGACTTAAACTCTCGGAGTATGACTATAATATAATCTACCGTAAAGGTCGACTCAATTCTGCGGCAGACGCTTTATCACGATATCCTGTAAACCCTATACAGAGTGATGGCTCTCCTTTTAACCTTGATGAAATTAGTCCATTAAATCCTGACCATCTTGTCGATTTTGAACCCCTGAGTCCAGATGCCATTATCCCTTCCGAAATACAAAATCCTGATCCAATGCCAGATCAACGGCATACTGAATCTCCTATAGATGCACAACGAGTTCTAGATGACTTAATACAATTAGGAGACTTACACTCTCCAAACCTACAGGATAATTCAATTCCTTCTGAATTATTGACTCCCAGTAATTCTCATTCTGACGGTTCTCCTCCTGACATAATTCCTTCATCCAACCATGATTACAACACGTTCTTAAAAGCATTCTCCAAAAATGATACAACCTTTACAACTCACATTAAAGAACACAATGAAAATCTCCTGAAGACTAAATCCAAAACTATCCTAGTACCGGTGTCAATCGATTTTGACGAATCTAATCCTTATCTCGAGGAAATCCTTTCTAATTTAGAAAACCAGGAAATATTGAATGAAGAACGAGAACTCCATTCTTATAAAGAACTTCAGATAAATGAAAAAAACCTTTTTCCTTCTCTTAACAAAAGTTTACTACTTCGACAGTTGCTCTTACCCAGATATATTTAAAACATTAAAAACTGTACGGGATAAAATTCTATTATCCGGTAATATCAGTGAAATAGCTATATCCGACTTTAAAAACCCGTATGACAACCAATCTTTCTTTAAAATATATAACATGTTAATTTATTTATTTAATAATACAAACATAATAGTTAGTGTATATCATAACAGTATCATATATCCCGTTCCAACAGAAATTACTAAACTACTTAAAGAAAATCACGATATTCCTATCGCTGGACATTTAGGCTCAAATCGAATGTTTTCTCGCATCAAAGAAAGATACTATTGGAAAGGAATGCGTTCCGACATTGAAAATTATGTAAAAAATTGTAGCTTATG